GCTGGTGGGGAATCCTGTGCACCTGTGATGCTGTTTTAGCCAAGAAACTTGCTCTCTGCTTCCTAAACCCACACAACAGTGCCAGGACCTGTGCCTGCTGAAAGAACGGGCTCTTGCTGTGTCTCACCCTGGCCAACCACAGGGAAAATCCTGTTGATGCTCAAGTGGTGCTTTGCTTGTCTGTACTGTTTCTCTCCTTTCCCTCTGGTCCTTCCCAGGCATCACTGCTGCCCAGTCTCCTGCGGCTCCTCAGCCAGTGTTTGGCCATGGGCAGGACTTTCTGTTGCCTATCCATCAAGTGCCAGAAAATAAAGTGATGCAGAGCAAAGCCTCTTTTTTGAGCCAGGGAGGTGCCTGTCCCGCATCCCTCTGCTACGTCCCTCCTCTCACAGCAGCAGGTTTTGCCCATGGGCAGTAAACCCCCATGTGTTAGGGACTGCTTTAGTATCTCCATTAGTCCTCCTTACCCTTGCAGTGTGGAAAAACAGGAATCATTTCCCTGAAGCTGCAATGGGATGGGATGGATCCTCATGCAGAAAGAGGCTGAAGTCCTTGAGGACAAGTCAGGATGTCCCCAGGTTTGGAGGAGGGAGGCTGCCCCAGACCAGGTGCTGCAGGGAGCCGACAGGGCCCTTCTGTGCTCATCCTGCTGTCACATTGCAGTTGCACTCCCTGTTGTCCCTTGAAATCCCCCATGTGCCATCAGCTGAAGCAGGCGATGGGGCAGCTGGAAAGGGCTCAGCAGAGGGACCATGTGTGGTGAACGTGGGCTAGGTCTGGCTAAAAGGGGCAGAGAAACACCTGCAGGGTTTGTCCAGGGCTGAAGCAGGCTCCCAGTCCCCCAGGATGCTAAATTCAATTTTCCCCTGTGACTTTTTCTGCTCTGATTTGTCCTGTGGCCACCTAAGCCTTGAGCCAAGAGGGCAGCAGAGCCCCTGCCTTCAGTGGCAGCTTGGGCACAGGAAAAATTACACCTGTAATTAGACCGTCCCTGCCACTGCATTGGAAAGTGAGTGGTTCATTAGGGAGCACTGCTGGTCCCAGACCACTTTGTGTTCTTGAGCAAGGAGTAATTAGTGATTAATTGCAGCCAAACCAAACTGCAGACAAGCTCCTTGCACAGCGCAGCCTGAGCTCTGGTAGCCCGTGTGGGGCTGGGTGCCCCCCTGTGCTTTCCTTCCCCCGTGGAGCCGGGACGCAGGGGACAGTGCGAGCCAGGACAGGCTGCAGGAGCAGAATGTGGAGCGACAGGTATCTGCATCCTGCTCTTCTATGCCAGGAGCTGGGAAGATCAGATGGTACACAGCCTTGGGGAGGGGTTGGGAGGGATTTGGGTTTATTTAGGCATTAACCAGAGGGAGTCCCTGATTGCATTAGGCGGGTGGCCAGACTGATGGATGGCCATTTGGCCCTGCAGTCTGTGAATCGCTGACTCTCCTGCTGCTGATGCAGCGGCAATAAGCGGGGGCCTTATCTGTGGTGCAGCTGAAGAAGGATTTTTAATGACCCTCCTGTTTACCCTGACTTTTTCAGGGTCCTTCTTGGCTGCTTTCTGCATCCTGGGCTTAGTCTCGGCCAGACCATGCCAGCAGCCATAAATGCGTCACCCTCTGCTTAGTCACTGTGGGTGGCGCAACCCTGGCTCCGGCTGGGGAGGAAGCAGCCCCGGGAGGGACTAACAGGCTCCTCGTTAGTCCCCTGCTCTGTTTGCAGTGTGTGTTGGTCAATGCTGCATGCCAGCAGCTCCAGCACCAGCCTCGAAGGCAGGCCTGGTGCTTATTTACTTCCGTTTTGATTTTAAAACCCTCTGATTTGCTCTATTTAGCCATGAGCAGTTTATTCCCAGTTTTTTGCATGTCAAAGCTGTCCTGTTGCTTAACTTGATGCTCCCCATCCCTGCTGCTGATTTCCAAGGATTAAAGCTCAGCTGTACCCCAGGCTGGCAGCCCTTGCTGGGGGGCGGCAGGGATGTGACACAAACCTTCCCATCCTCACTGACACATGCACTCGCCCCTTCCAGTGGGAATTCCAGGTGGGCCCATGTGAAGGCATCGAGATGGGGGATCACCTCTGGATGGCTCGGTTCATTCTCCACCGTGTCTGTGAGGACTTTGGGGTTGTGGCCACTCTGGACCCCAAACCGATGACTGGTAACTGGAATGGCGCTGGGTGTCACACCAACTACAGCACTGAGGAGATGCGGAAAGAAGGGGGTCTCAAGTGAGTCCTGGGGGTGTCCCTGCAATGTACCTGAGAGATTTGGCATGTCCTTGGCCATGTGGCAATTCCCCATAGCACATATGTCTCCATACCTGGGGTTGTCCCAGCTCATTTAATTTTAAAAGTAGCTGGTCATATGAGAGTGTCCCCTGGGCTGTCCTCATCCCTGCACAGGAGGAGGGGGTGACATCCCTCCTGGCCATGGGAACACCCCCCACATGGACCTACTGACAAACCCACCCCCTTTCTCCTCTCCCACAGACACATTGAAGCTGCAATTGAGAAGCTGAGCAAGCGGCACGACTACCACATCTGTGTCTATGACCCGCGGGGTGGCAGGGACAACTCCCGGCGGCTCACCGGCCACCATGAGACGTCCAACATCTTTGAGTTCTCCGCCGGCGTGGCCAACCGAGGTGCCAGCATCCGCATCCCACGCCAGGTCGGCCAAGACGGCTACGGCTACTTCGAGGATCGGCGGCCGGCAGCCAACTGCGACCCGTACGCGGTCACTGAGGCCATCATGAGGACAACGGTGCTCAACGAGACTGGGGTGGAGACCAAGAACTATGCTGACCACTGAGGCTGTGGGGTGGGTGGGGGTTTTCATTTCTACACTAGCTTCTCACGTGGGATTTGTGCCTGTGTGGTGTCCTCGGCTGCAAGCTCGGACTCTTTAGGAACCTTGCTTCTGGTTTTGTGAAACGTTGCCTTAGAAATATATATATTTTATAAGTCAGAGGGAGAGGCCCAACATATTTTCTCAACCACTTTTTTTCTGGTTCCTGGTTTTAGGTTATACGTGGGGAGTTTTTTTAAAACTTGGATTGAATATTTTCCCGATGGACTTTACACTGTGATGTACATAGATCCCTATGTGGAAGCTGCAGCTGCTGCTGTTAGCACCTGGGGAGGGTGGGTGCTTTTTTTTTTTCCACATCTCTATTGCAAGGAAATGCTAATAAATAATTTTCCTGGCTGCGTGGCAGCTGGGTTATGCTGTGGTGGATGCATTTTTCTGTAGCTTCTAGAGGTCCAGTGGTATTTAATTTGGCTCTTGCTGATGGATTGCAGTCACTGGGCAGCCTGCAGTGGCCTGAGCAGGGGCTGGAGGAGTAGAGATGCTGGAGGATCCTTGGGGCAGGTGCTGGAGCTGCCTTGCCCCATTTGCCAGCAGCTGAAAGGCCATCTCCTTCCATCGTGATCCCCCGAAAAGCAAATAGAGCAGCATGGGCTGAGCAAACAGTGGCCGGGGCAGCAGCTGGCGGGCGTTTACACAGGGTGTGTGCTGCTGAGTCAGCAAAGCTGGCCCAGCGCTGGGCACAGCGAGCAGCAGCCCTCCTCTCTAGGGGCGCCTTGGGTGAGGGAGGGGAGCCTGGGGACATCCCCCTGCTGCACCCCTGGGTTATGCCTTGCCAAGCCGCAGGGACACGGTACAGCTCCTTGGGTTGGAGTCTCTTTACAAGGTGGGGCGGGGGGCTGGGGGGGTGGTGTCATAGATTTTATTCACAGAGCAAAACCCCCAGGTAGGGCATTTCCATGTAGATGGGGTGTCCCTTGGGGTCCCTCCATGCTGCAACCCTGGGGAGGAGCTGGATGCGAGCACAGGGGATAGCGCTCTGGTCCCAGGGACACCTTGGACAGGCGGGTTCAGGTCACTGGGACAGACCTGCAGGATGTGACCCCCACTGCAGTCACCAGTGGGTGAGGGGAAGCAGCAGCGTGAACAGGCAGAGGACATCATGTCCACTCCGGTGCAGTCGTGGGCATTTTGAAACTGGGTTTATGTCTATCTTTGAACGTGATGCAGGTGATGAGCCGAAATGGAGGACACTGATCCCTCCTGCAGGTCATTGGTGCTGCCAGCAGAGCAGGGAACAGAGGCAGCAGGAGCTGGGGAGGTGGCTGGGCCCCAGACCATGAGCAGCCAGGAACCCTTGGTGTCTCTGAGCTGCTCAAGAATAAACATAACCAGGTCCCCACCCTAAGAAGAACAAATTTTCCTTCCAGAAATTGCTGTTCAGGATTCTTAAAGTTTTTCATCAAAGCCACGATGCTGACTTGTTTTCCTCTAATTTCTATGATGTCTTTAATGGGTAATTGGAGCACTGGGACAGTGACTGCTGGATGCAGCTGGAAAATAAATAAATAGCTAAATCTGGAGCAGATAGACTCATGTTTGCTTCTCTGACAGTACCAGTGGCTTAAGGTACTTCAGCTTTCATCATACAGTGCTGTACAGCCCTTGCTAAATTTGGGGAATCGTGTAAACCTTCATTGCCAATGTGCAAACATCTTTGGCCGGACACAGCACCATGGTAGATCCAAACACTTTGTACCTGTTCCTGTGTGTCACCGTGTGATTCCCCTCTGACAGGGGACTCTCCTCTTCAGCAGAGGACAGTGAAGCTCCAGAAGAGATCCAGGGACTCACCCAAAGCCACAGCTGGGGTTTTTCCCTGAGCTGGGATCAGCCCTGGCCACCACTCTCTGGGGACGCAGCCTGCCAGTCCCCACAGGCTGGGAGCTGCTGTTTGCTTGGATGCTCTCGTGCTGTCCTTTGGCAAAACACAGATCTTGCTTGTACTTTTTGAGGTCAAAATAGGCCAGAAACCATATGTCAGGGTTTTTCTTTTCCTAAAGCAGGAGTGATTACCACCCACAGGGCCAGCAGCACAGAGGAAACAAGGACGCCAGAAAATTCCCACATGAGCTTTTCTTATCATTTTAGTGTGCCTGCTTCTGCCGAAGGTGGGTTGTTGGGTTCAGGCAGTGGAGCCGGTGCTGGGGATGGAGCCAGCCCTCGGGCCGGGGCTTGCGGCCATGGCAGGGGAACAGTGTTCCCGTCCCCACCCGAAGGGTGGGCAGTGCCGGGAGGAGATGCGCCCAGCATCATCAGTGCTCTGCGCTGGACCGTGATGGGTGGAAGAGGGGCTGGGATGCCAGGTGGAATCCACCGCAGAACAGGGCTGCTGCTATATGGGTCATTGTTCCCCGGGGTTTTCCCGACAGAGCACCCCAAGGAGCCGGTGCTGGGGTGGGTGGGGGGCGATGATCCAGCGCGGCCCTTCGCTGGGGCTCCTGGCTGGGGCCGGGCCGCATCCTGCGCAGCCTGAAGGGGCAGCAGGTCCTGGGGCTGGGGAGTTGGAGAGCGCTTTGGGCTCTGGAGGCGCTTCTCGGGGG